CTGGCGGAATCGTGTTAGGTGTTGTTGCCTTACCTACAAAATAGAAATGGAAATGAAAATTCTTGACTACGAAAAGACTGAAAAGTTTACATCATCCACATGTTCCGACTCGGAAGCACTGGCATCCCAGCGATTATTGAGAATAAAGACATTCGGTTTACTAAGTTTCTTCGCTACACGATAGAAAAAGCTTTTCTCCTGAAATTGACGTGTGCCATGGCATTAATCACTAGCATTCTATATTGGCAAGTTCGAATATGAGGTGAAAGCGAAATAAAATCAAAAGTCAACTAAAGAAACAAACCGCTTGTGTGAGAGTGGATTCAGCGTTCAGGACAAGCACGAAAACATCAGCGTCTAGACAATGTTTATCGATCCAGCTATCAAATTCTGGAGAAAGATCGACACCGGGACTGAAACAAAATATACATAAGAGCTTAAGTTCTAATTTGAAATTTAAAGAATGTGCTATTCTCTTATCTAAAAATTGAAGTCATTCGACCTTATCGAATGAACGAAGGAGGAAGATACGTGAAGAAAAGGAGTTATTCAATAAAATCAAGCACTTTCAAAGTAGGAAAAACAAACTGAATAAAGGTCACGACAAAAAAAGCGTTACGAGAATACTCATGTACGAAGAGCAAAAACCTGCAAGAAAAGAAAAGAGCATTCACCTATCCAGAATGACGACATCGTTCTGCAGTAAACGATTCTCTCCTTCACCTTTTCCTTTTGGATAAAATACACGCAACAGCGAGTCCTGACCCATAGAAGGAAGCCCGGAGTTATCACTGCTTAATGCATGACCCATTTTGCTTAGCTGCTCAATAGGAATTCGTTCGGGATTATCTTCAAGGAGCAGATAACCAGTATCTTCATTGCAACCTTGGACCTAAACAAGCGTAGCATATATTTATGTTTATGAAAGCCATGATTCGGCAAGAAAGATCATCAAATGGAAAGAATACCTGTAAGAAGCAACACGTTGTATGACCCATTCCTTGTGGAAGTATTTTTGCATGCAGCATAGCATTAATAGTTGTGCTTTTCCCATTACTAGTCCTACAAACAGCTACATTAACAGATCGAAGCTCAAAATTTTTTGAATCTATCAAAATCACTATCTGCTTCTGGCGACTGAAGAAAAAGCATACTTATTTGAAATATTTTTGTCCAGACGTAATGTATGACGCAGACGTGATTGGATTACTGATGACTTCCAAAGCTTTTTCTAACAAAAATTTGTAAACAAGCAAGGAGATCACCGCAATTTAACTATCTTTGAATGCGAGAAAAAGAACTCTAAAACTTTTCCATATGAAAAGCAAGAGCTCCTGTCATAAATGCTTGCCAGTTTCGATTTATTTCGGAAGAAAAAATAAATAAAAGATTGCTTGGATTATGGCTGTGCATCAATTATAACAACTTATAAGAAACTTTCATTGTTGCTACCAGGTCTGAATAAATTTTGGAATTTTTAAAGAAAAACTTTGAGCTAAGATTTAGCTGTGCCGCAAATGAGCATTTTTAAATGAGCAATTCTAAAATTTTAAAACCAAACATTTACAGAAAAACGGAAATGACACGTCAAATCCCGACCTTCCAAAAAATACGACTTTCATATTATCTCGTCTGAATGTTTCCATAATTGTACGTATCGACTCGCGAAATTGCTCAATTTCGGCAGCTTGCTCATCAGGAACCATGCATTGAGCCGAATCTCCGGCACCAGGTGCCGGTGGAACAGCGATATCTTAAAGAGGAGAGGTGAAAAGTTACCGAATTCAAACAGAAACAGCTCTAATGGAGATATTTGTAAAAAGTAAATCTACCTTTGTAGACATCATCCAGTTCATCAACATGTTTTCCCAAATCTGTGTAGATATCGCCGAGCACTTTCTTCGCTTCGGAGAAACGAAGCAATGGCTCGGCTTCGCCATTCATTCTACGGGCGGTTTTTACTG